CGTTGTATGAAGAATTACTAATCAATAGACAAATATCGATAAATAAATACAAATATACGTAATAAAACCCGTAGCTATGTGAATGTCATAAACTACTATATATTGTTATACCTATGAATATAAAATTTCTAAAACACAATTTCAAAACATAAAATACCTAAGCAGTTCAAGTCACGCTAAAGTTAGGTAGTGTTCTGTTACCATAAATTTTATAAGTCAGTCTGTAATTACTGATTGGCTTATTAAATTCACATGTGATATTATTAGGAAAAACATGTTACATCTAGTTTAATCTGTTGAAGTGCATCTGAGTAAATATATATGCTTTCAATAATACTAATGTTTGTGAAACTATACTTATTTTTGTTACTTGTCAACTTCTATACAACTATGTTTTACAAATAAATGAATTATATACCAATCCAATGTTGTGGCGTTATTATTTTAACCAATGGAAAGCTAGATGTTCATTCACATCACACGGGCAGGTGACATCTTTAAGAACAGTCTGCCTCAGTCCAGTGAACCCATGACCATGGAGTGTGTAACCATTCCGAAATATCGGGCAAATAACAATAAGTCATGGAAAAATGTATTATAACCGGTGATAAATTATTCGTTAATTGTTATTAATTATATCGTCATAAGAGCTATATTCCATTACAAGAGAATTTCACAATCTGCCAAAACTAACAAAACATTTTAACACAATGTAAATAATGAAAACAGATTTATTACAATCCCCCGGCTTCCCCACCGCCCACCCCCGGCTCCGCCTTCACAATTCTCGTTAAGGTGACTGTTTAATAATCTCAACGCGATTTCTAATGGGATTGAGTGAATTCACCCCTCCCTAACCACCCTCGCTTCAGGCCTTGTACCCTTAATATAGTTTCTGTGAATTGAGACAAGTCGAAATTATTTACGGACTTAATATAAGACTCTGATTACATTTCATTTTTGTATTAAATCGATGTAATTAATATATTAAGATTTTTACTTTGATTTACACTTTCACGATTTTCACACATTGTTTTATTTTTAGTTCGGGACTTAATCACGTATATACAGCCTTGGCCAAAAGTATTAGGCACCCCTTAAATTTGCAAAATACAAATTTACTAATTTAACCATTCATTAATGCTTATCTTAGATGGTATGCTGGGGTCGTATTTCTTTACCTGGCATAGTAGGCGGCATATTTTTAAGGTCATAAAACACCTGGTGATCGAAAACAAAGGACTTGTGCTTCTTGCGGTCTTATCACTAAATATTTTGTCACTTGTGATCGGGACTCTAAAGCGTCAACAAGTTTTTATTATTGGTTTAAAAATTAAATTGAGGTCTGATTGGTTTTAAAATGCCGAAGAACAGTGAAATTAGTTTGGAAAATCGAGTGAAAATACAAATTTTACATGAACAAGGAAAGTCGCAAAAAGAAATTACCAAGTTAGTGAAATGTTCACGTTGCGCCGTGCAATCTGCTATTAAACGGTTTGCTCAGACTGGCACTCACGCTAATAAACAAAGAACAGGCAGAAAAAGGGTAACAACAAAACGCGAGGATAGAAAATTAATACGCGAATCGATGAAAGATCGGAAGAAAACTTCATCAGAGCTTGCTGCTGCCTTGTCCGAAGAGACTGGAAAAGCAATTAGTGCTCGCACAGCAAGGAGAAGACTTGGGGAAGCCGGTCTAAAAGGATGCAAAGCCAGGAAGAAGCCTTGGCTCTCAGAAGCCAACAAAAGGAAACGTTTAGAGTGGGCTCTACGGCACCAACATTTTACGGAGGAAGATTGGTCTAATGTTGTGTGGTCTGACGAATCTAATTTTGAGGTAAGTTTATTTTACTGGGTTCTTTACCAATAAGTATGATCACTTATTTATTTTACTTAAATGGAAAAAGTTTTGGCCTTTCAAAAAAAAATAACTTTTTCGTTTCTTCTCTAGGTGTTTGGAACACCAGGTGTGACATTCGTCAGACGTCGTGTGGGTGAAGAATACCATCCAGATTGCGTCGTACCAACTGTCAAGCACGGAGGAGGCAGCATAATGATCTGGGGCTGTATGGCTGCTGATGGGGTTGGCGAAATGTTTGTCTGCGAAGGCCGTATGAACAGCGAAAAGTACGTAGAAGTACTTGAATCTGCGCTTATGCCTTCGCTAACAAGCATTTTTGGCGGCACTAACTTAGATGGAGTCATATTCCAACAAGACAATGCGCCTTGTCATAAGTCAGCGACTACGATGCGTTGGTTTAGGGACAACAACATTGAGTTGTTGGATTGGCCGGCCAAGTCCCCAGATCTGAATCCTATCGAGCATCTCTGGGGCATTTTAAAGCGTAGGATTAAAGAGCATATTGGCATTACTTCTAAAACGGCCCTAAAAAATGCTTTGATAAATGAATGGCAAGCTATTACGAGAGAGGATTGCTCTAAGCTTGTGCGCAGCATGCCAGACCGAATAAGCGCTGTGATTAAATCTAAGGGTGGACCTACTAGATTTTAAGTTATTTGTATTTGTTTTTATGTGTTTTAATTATAATAAATAAATCAAGAAACAGGAAGTTGTTTTTTTCCATTTTTTAAAGTAAGTTTTAGGGTGCCTAATACTTTTGGCCAAGGCTGTACATATTTTAATTACCTCGACGTTTCGGACGTATTGCAACGTCCATGGTCTCGAAGGGTCTGAAGAGGCGGGTGTCAACATCTTCTAGCAGAAGATTAAAAGACAATCCTGCAGGGCTAGCACGATAGGCCGCGACTAGCGCGAGAACGACATAAAGCGCGATATACCGCTATCCTCGCACAGAGATGCCGCGCTTTATGTCGCTGTCGCTGTGCTGGTAAAAGTACAGGCACATGGAGTTTGATGGGTGACGGGCGCAGTGGCAGTGCCCCTCAGACTCAGATCTTTGCGATTTAAAGCTTTGAGGACACTGCAACTGTTATGGACAGGCGTGTAGCTTACCATCAGGCGCGCAACTTGTTCGTTCCGTCACTTGACATTGTATAAAAAAAAATTACCCTCGAAAACCGGAAGGCAATAATGAAGAGAAAAATAGAAATGGGCAAGGTGGCATTACTTCGCAGAACGCACACTTGCAGAAGGAGCTCTACTGCTACTAAAAAACTACTGCTGTTATAATTATATAAATGTGTTATCACTTACTTAACAATATCTACTTACGTAAATAGAAATATATTAAATAGGACCGTTTTCCTTCCCACAATATCTTCCGGCAAACAATGGTGCAAGTTGTAACGCCGCGGGCCGCGGGCCCACGAAATCGACTTTGGTGTTTGATTTACCGCAGCGCGTGCGCCGTGTTACGCCACTGATTGTTATTATACGCTATATTGAAGCCTCTTTTAATAAGGGTTTAATGGTTTAGGAAATTCACTGTTATAATGGTCAATTGTTATTATTACAAGATATGCGAAAGGTACGCAAATTACACTGACACATAGACTATGTATGACTATTTCAAGAAATAATTATAATATTATATGGTATTTGAAAGTTCGAAAGGGGTTCATACAATATTTGTAATAACATTCTTTTGCATTCAAGACAAATTGAGTTAAAGCATTTTTGTTTTCAAATTGTTACCATTGTGCTATGAAAGAAAAACGAGACACCGTTTTATAAATCCATGCGTAGTTAATACCTATAATTCTCTTTCTTAAAAAAAAACTTTACTTTTGATTTCGTCACAATTTGGTTATGAAATTCAACGAAACATAAAATAACGAATGTTTAACGCTCTCGTTTGATTTCTTTTAGAAACTATCTAAGTAATAACTTTCGAAGTTGGGTATCAGCTTCAGTCTGGGTATATGAACTTACTATGGAAGGCCGTGTGTGCAGCATAATTAATTAATAATTATATTTTACACATTATTTGTTCCCATTAAAAATGGTTATATAGTATTAATGAATATTTGAGTAAAAATTATAATTATCTATTATTATTATTTGGTACTAAAATTATTTAATAATTAACTTACAGGAACTTTTAAATTTAGTTCCACCCTCACCGTTCCTTCTTTGGTCGACTAGAAGGTCTGGAACACTCCATCTTTAAGTCGTTGATATACCACCAATTCGCACTAAGCGCTTTGCTTCCTCCTTTCTAATGCGTGCGGTAAAGGAATGGAATACTCTAATCTGTGTTTTTCGAAACGTACAATTTGGGGCTATTCAAGGCTAGAGCGAATAGGCGTTTTTTCGGCAAATGCGGTACATCGTCGGTCACATCGTCGCTTAACATCTGGTGACATTGTGGCGAAGCGTGTGTCTATTATATATTAAAAAAAAATCGAATAAATTTTAAATATACTTTATTAATGTAGAAGCAATGTGCGAGAAGCCTTTTTATCATTATCATCATCATTCAGCCATACGACGCCCACTGCTGGGCATAGGCCTCCCCCAACGATCTCCACGACGATCGGTCCTGCCCGCATCTATATCGGCTTCTCGCGACCATTACCAGATCGTCGGTCCACCTGGTGGGGGGCCTACCCACTGAGCGTCGTCCGGTGCGCGGTCGCCATTGAAGAACCTTTCCGCCCCAACGGCCATCGGTTCTCCTAGCTATATGCCCCGCCCACTGCCACTTCAGCTGAGCAATTCTTCGAGCTATATACATTTCATTGCTGGGCACGGGTCTCCTCTCTGGCGAGGGTTAAGGCCGTAGTCCACCTCGACTTGCAGGTTTCATCACGATGTTTTCCTTCATAGAAAAGCTCATAGTCAATTTCAAATTAAACTTCGCACACAAATTCCGAAAACTCAGATGTGCGAGCCCAGATTCGAACTCACGGTCTCTGCTTGAGACACGGTACGTCAAACCGTTAGGCAACCACGGAACTTTTTTTAATTTAGTTTATTATCGAAAATTTTTATATACATTGGTAATTTCGGGCTTTAGCTGAAAGAAACCTTATAATTTCTGCACAGGCAGCTGATAACGTTTTATGTATTGTTGCAGACGCAGCACCCGATGTAATATCTTCAAGCGTCGTGTTCTACCAATACCGGGAAGGATTTAACAACGCCGTGCGCCGGAACGTACGGACTAAAGATATGTTATAGTTTCAATTGTAATTTATGGGTAACGTTTTTTATTTTATAATTGTCCAAGTCGTTATAATCCCGATGGCCAGCGAACGCGACATGAGGAGGTGCGGGGCTCGGTAGCTTTCCCTTAGAAAAAATTCCTTTGATCCGGCTGGATTCGAACCAGCGTCTTCTACCAAACTGTGCTAGATGCTATGTCAACTAAGTCACGGAACGAACCAGCGGATCTTACGAATTTTTGTATAAGCTTGTTGCAGATATTTGTTTTGGTATTTAATGGCTTTTTGCCGTAGCGCCATCTGTGACAAATTTATTTCTTCACTCAGTTAGATACCTTTATAGCTACCAGCAGCTGACTAGAGATGTTGATTTAAAAATGGAGAGATAGAAAAATTCGTTATGTCCGCTGGTTCGTAGACGCTATGCTAATTAAGCCACGGGGCTTAGTTGGCATGGCGTCTAACACGGTTTGCTAGGAGACACTGGTTTGGATCCAGCGGGATCGAAGGATTTTTTTCTAAGTGTTCGTTCTTTGTATTAATAATTGTAACAAAGTAGTGGAGTAATTTACAAAAACTATTAAATATCATTGTGGTAAAACCGTTAGTGATAGCTTATAGTTAAAAGTCTATGTTTATATCAATATCTGCGTATTGAACAATAATGTATAAATAGTAAAATGGGTCGAATTCAGTTCATTCTGTTTAATGCTTATTAACTTTAATATGAACGTTACTATTTTATATCCTCAATCTTTTTGTACCGTGTGTGTATCATAAGATTTATAAGTAAGTAATCGTAGTCCTATTTTGAAACCTCCAAGCTTTCCAAAACTCCGGAAAAACGCGAAAATAATACTCATAGAAAAACTTTTAACCCGTTAAAACGTCACTTCATGCATTACTTATATTTTAACGATTAGGGTAAAGGAAATCTTACTTTCGTGAGAAACTTCTCTTGTCATATTGTAAATTTACACAAAAAGTTGTCCGCAATGGTGTTCGGGCGACGGCGACGCGCAGGTGTGAACGCAGACTGTAGGCAGACGAGTTTGCAATTCACTGCTCTATAAACATTTATTATCACAACTTTATTGTCTACATTACAACTGTATAATATACAGGGTTATTTGTAAAGTACTAACAACCTCGCAGACATGACATGACTTGATAATTCATCAGATACTTCTTTTGTACAATAATAAAATATTTAAATAAATCGTTTTAAATGGTGATAACTCTGTGCTTGTAATAAAAGAAAGCACTAGCGTAAATGCCAGTTGTATGAAAACGCAGCAGCGGTAGTGTGAGTCGTCGAGGTGAACGCATGCACGTTTTAACTTACTACCTTACTGCCAAATACAGATCTAATAAAAAAAACAGTACAGAGTCCTAAAAAACCGACCTCAAAAGTCATTCATCCCTTAGTATGCCACCCTTAGAGCGGGAATATTTTCTTCAAATTTAAATGGGACCACATCTGAGGTCTCTTTCCAATAAAGAATCATCAAAATCGGTTCACAAATTATCGTTATCGCGTAACATACATACAAAAAAAACGTGCAGTCGAATTGAGAACCTCCTCGTTTTTGAAGTCGGTTAAAAAGTGTTCTTTTTTTCTTATTTTTATATCAAGTGACGGGACGAACAAGTCCTGTGCCTGATGCTAAGCTACACGCCTGTCCATAACGGGTGCAGTCCCACTCAAAGCTTTAAATCGCAAAGATCTGAGTGGCACTGCCACTGCGCCCGTCACCCTGAGACACAAGTTGACAAGTCCTATGTGCCTGTAATTTCACCAGGACCACCTTCTAACGCAGTAATGCTAACATTACTGCTAGGTAAAGAGCAGGACTTCCCTGGACGAACTCCTTCACACTGCTGCTGCTAAAATTAAGTGTCAAATAGTACAACAATAACTTAAACTTTTTTTAAATAAATTTATTGTTTTGTTATTTATGATTATAGTAACATAGTCCTGCGAGGTTGTTAATATGTAGCTGCTGGTACCGCCCAAGCATAGGTTGTATGTTAATATGCGTGTACAAATAATTTTCAAGACAAAAGTCTTCGAACAGTGCGTGTTGCCAGCGATTACCTACGGTTCTGAGACGTTGTCAAAGTCACTCAATGAGGTATCGAACGAGCTACGTGATCGAATCAGAAATAAGGAGATCCGTAGAAGAACGAAAGTCAACGACATAGCTCAAAGGATTAGCAAGTTGGAGTGAAATTGGGCAGGGCACATAGCTCGTAGAACTGACGGTCATTGGGGCAGAAAGATTCTCGAATGGAGACCACGAACCGGAAGGCGTTTAGTGGAACGGCCCCCTACTAGACGGACGGATGACCTGGTAAGGGAGGCGGGTAACCAACCGACCAACCGATGGATGCAAGCCGCGTCCGATCGACTAGTCTAGAAATCTCTGGGGGAGGCCTATGTTCAACGATAGACGTCTTCTGGCTGATGTGATGATGATGAAATAATTTTCCACACAATGACCTTTCGATTCGAGAATTTTGTAGGAAGTGACGACAGAACGAAGAATAGGAAAGACGAACAAAGGAAGTTAGAGTACGATTCAGAAATTCATAGTTTCAAAAGTAAGTGGCCAGGAACCAGAAAGGAGGGCGATAAAAGGTGGGAAAATGACTATGAAGGAGGTTGCATCGTCACACAAATAACCCTGTATATGCTGCTATATATTGTTTATTTGTCAATCGTTAAATAAATCAATCGTGTTATGTATTCCGATGGGAGGGGTTAGTGATAAAATATAATGAAGTAAATAAATCACATCCTCAACAATGAAGTGCCGTAATTCGGAAAATAGCATTGTTTAAAAACTGACAAAATTAATTTAAAAAATAGTAAAGTAAGGCTCAACTCACACTGGCGCATAGTCGAAGCGTCACGTCGCGTCCTGTTTTTCAACTACAACGCATGGCGACGACACTCGGATTAGCGCGCCCGGATCACAGTGTGGTCGGCGTCTTACGCGTTACTGCGCGCAAGTAACGCACGGCGACGCGCGCATAACATTTGCATAACACAAATTTACCTGACAATAATGGGAAAATAAAGATGAATAGCTTTAGGCGAAGAACAGGAAGCGTCGTGAGGCTTCGGCTCTGCGCGCCAGTGCATTAGCTAAGCATTAGCCAAATTGAGTTTTTTTTTAAACCTAATTGTCAGATTCTCTAAAAAATACTTTTCAAGTATTTGTAAGTAAAATAAAAAAAACGAATACTTTTACTAAATACTAAACCGTACATCCACTTCCCCTTATAAAACATCCAACATATTCAACACTTTCATTATAATCAAAAACTTTGCACATAAATACATCGACGCCTTTATTTATAGAACCTCTCTTCTCCCAGTGATTAACTGTTGAAGTTTCAAACTCGGAGATTCACGACTCTTCTTACTTTATAAAGACAATTGTTTCAAAGTGGTCTTAAATTTATGATATGCAAGGGATGTATTAAGGTGGTAATAACCATGAATCATCTTAATATTTCATCGTATGGTGTGTTCATTAATTTGTATTACAAGTTTCTTAAATACAATACAGTACATCCATGGTTATACATGTGCACAAATGGTGCATAGAGAAACATTGGCATCGACGATAGTCATCAAGTCTTTGTGAAAATATTTCACTGGTTTGTTATTATTTATTTATTTATTTTTGGAAGATTTACACCGAATTTTTAACAATAAATATACGTATATTGAGTTACAAGCGAAAATGCTAATTACAAATCTCCACAAGTAGCACACAACATTAATTATTAAGTTTTTAATCAGCAGAAACTAAAACATTATAATTGAAATGTAAACACAATATAATATTATTTTACACATTGAGAACAGGTGCACTTGCCACTACAGGGGAAAAAAAAAAAAAAAAAGGAAAAATATTGAACCCTATATGGCCCAACTAACAACACGCACATCTTAAAGACAGGAAACAAATTAAATTTATATTATTATCATCGATTGAAAATTTCTTCAATGCGACTGAACTCGAACCGGCGTTTGTCGCCTCAACGTGGCCACCGCTCTTACCCATATAACTACGGATCGAGTACAGATCTTACGAATTTCTTCACGTGCGTTGCAGATCGAAAGAGTTATACTTTGTTTTTATTTTGATCTTTGTATCTATAACAATAACAAACTAGTGGCGTATTTTCATGAAAAAATATGCATATGTTTGGTAGTAAAAACATAAGAATTTTTTTGAATTTTGTAGCAGTAGAGCTCCTTGTGAAAGAGTGTCCATAGAAGTACTGCCACCGTACCTATTTCTGCCACCAAGCAGTAATGTGAGCATTAATGCGTTCCAAATTGGAAGGGCAAGTGCTGGTGAAATTACAGGCACATTGGACTTGAAGACTTATGTCTCCGGGTGACGAACGCAGTTGCAGTACCTTTAAGATCTTTGCGATTTAAAGCTCTGAGTGGCACTGTTATGGATAAGTCTGTCGCTTACCACCAAGCGTACAATTTATTCGTCCCTCCACTTGGTATTATTAAAAAAAAATACGATCATCATTATCAACTTTCTATACAATTTACTAAGGAAGGAGTTTAGACTATAGATTCTAAAAGTTTTTGGCTCACCACCACAAAAAATAAATCAAAACACTTATTTTTTATATTAACTTAACACAAAAAAATCACAAGAAAAAATATACATTTGAATATATAGATAAATGCGTGAGCATCCTCTGGATAGCATCAACACCAATTGCTTCAAAATTCAGCGCCCATTGGGGGACGGTAGGAATCACTTTGGGAAACTATGGTTTAGACTATACACCACTACCGCTGATCCAATGCGATAAGTTCTTCCATCTTTAGTATGCGGTATTACTACTAAACATTCATAAATTAGTCATTTTCGGACTAGTGTTGACTACCTAATTTTCGTGGTAATTTTTATTATTTAAATATTCAAGTATATTGTGGTATAATTATTGCATGATATTTCACGATACAATTCTTAAATATTAAATAATATTGCACGATAAAAAATCGAATACTCAAATAATAAAAAATTCCACGGAAATTAGGTAGTGAACACTAGTCCAAGAATAACCGAAATTA